GCTGAGGTAACGCCGGAGCCGGCTCCGCTTAACTCACCCCGAGCCCTGCGAGATCCTCTGGGGACAGTGGTTCAGAGAGGGCCGTAGCGGTTCATCCTGGTTTGAGTGAGGAAAGAGCTTAAAATTGTGTAAGGGAGGCCCTGGCAGCGCATTCCTTGAGCTGTAGGAGAGGCTGTCAGTGAGGGCCTCCTGGGGATGTGCAGCAGCTTTGTCTCTTGTTGCTTTTTCGCAGCGCGAAGGGTTGTGTAACCTGATAAATTGTAGATGAGAAGCAAAGCGGGGTGGCCGCAGTTGTTTTATAATGTGTGAGGAATGACTGGCACGGCCTGGCAGGTTGCTGAGGTGTAGCAGCGTTGGGAAACATCCCTCAGGTGATGTCCCGCTGTCCTGGGCTCTCCCTGCCTTGTCCCCGTTGTTGGTTAGTCCTGGGAGTCTCAGCTTGGGCAGGCACGTGCTTAAAATCGACAGCAAACTGCCCTCCCCACCCTGTGGCCTCAACAGAGGGTGTTGTGGGAGAAGGATTGGCTTGTAAAGGCTTTCTTTGTATTTATTTAAATCTTGTTACAAGTGGTTGAGGTTTTTTTTCTATAGAATTCTTTTCTACAGATTAGAAACTTTAGAGAGATAAACTGTCTGGATTTAACTTCTGTTTTTTCTGGCTGTGAGTAGGAGTTTACAGCAGGTTAAATGGATGTTCAGAGAAATAGTTATTTGGTCCTAATGGGCAGTGATTATTTGCAATGCCATTTAGAGAAAGCATCTGATAGCCAAGATACTCTGATGATCATATATTGAAACTGAATGTTAGTGGCTGTGACTTCATGACAAAAATAAGGGTGGAAGGAAGGTAATATATTTTTGGTAGAAAATGGAACCATCTTGTCCCTTTCTTCCCCAGCTGCCTTCAGGGAGCCTGCAGCTCACTCTCTACCAGTATAAAACGTGTCCCTTCTGCAGCAAAGTCCGAGCTTTTCTTGATTATCATGGACTGCCCTATGAAATTGTGGAAGTGAACCCAATAATGAGGAAAGAGATCAAATTCTCTTCCTACAGAAAGGTGCCCATCCTGCTAGCCAACGCTGGGAGCCCTCTGGTAAGTCTTCCTGTCTTGAAAGCTTGATTTTCCCCCAAGCAGTAGTTTGAAGGCTGTTATGTCTCTGTGGTTTATCACATGCAGTGTAATCTTTAGATCATCTTTTATCCTCTCAAGAGCCAAAGATTTATTTCTCACTTCCTGTTTTCCTATTACTTGGCCTTATTATTTTGTTGGTCTGTCTTACAAGGCATTTAGTTTGTGTGGTGACTCTAATGCAGTGATTATCTGGTTTCTGTCAACCCTTCCAACCCTTCTGCAGGACATATCTTTGTACCAGAGGTAACAGGAACTGCTCGTATCTTGTGGGAAAAGAACAAGATCTCAAGAATACTGAAGAATCAGTTTGGCTTTTTTTTAGTGTTAATGTTGCTTTTTTTCCTTCCTGCCAAGAGCCTAAATCCAAACCCCACTAGTACTACATGTGTGCCCAGCCCTGAGGCCCTCTGTGGTCAGAATTAAAGCCAGATTTGAAGTGATATTCTGAAACAATCACAGAAGAGATGTCTTGAGATGTCCAGGGACTCCTGTGGAATTCCATTGGGGGGAAAGGACCTGCAGTACTAACTAGGAGCCTCAGCATACAAGGGAAAAGGTTGTGAAGAATTTCCTTTTCTGTTTCACCAGCTTCTTTTAAAAAAGGTTGTTTTCATTTTGTTTTTCAGCAATTGAACGACTCCTCGGTTATCATCAGTGCAATAAAGACCTATCTTATTTCCAGGTAGGAAAACAGGGTGATGAGAGATGAGTTCAGCCTGAAGGGCCTTGGTAAACTAGAGATTTAGAAAACTAAAGCCATAAGTCTCTTACTGACCTTGGGCTCTGAAGCTCTGGGTGTTTGGCCCAGCTGACCTGAGCCTGATAAAGTGGATGGTGCCTGTATATGTTGTGTTGTGTGTACTGTAAAGCAAAGCCTTTCAGAAATACTTAAACCTACTTAAATATGGACACTAGTGTTAGCTATGGAACTGAGCTTACAATTAGCCAGTTATTATATCTAAAATGAAATGGAATTCCCGTGTCTGTGGCCTGTCCTTTAGGTCCACTTGAGAATTGTAGGAAGCTCTATGCCTGCAAAAATTTCTGTTCTGACACAAAGGTATATTCACTAATAATAGTTATTTGCAAGTAGCTGTTCCAGTCTCTTTTCAAAACTTTTTTTCAAGTAGAATCTGGAACCTTGTGCACTTATTTTTAGAATAATACGTTTTATAGTGTGTAACTTTCAATCTGTCCTTTGCTCTCACTCCTTTTTTTGTAGCAGCCAAATCAGTGCTAACTGTGTTTCTATCCACAGAAAGAATAGCTTGGAAGAGATCGTGTCCTTTTATCCTCCTGTTAAAACCGTGACTGAGAAAGGCAAGGAGGTGATGGAGTATGAGAATAAATACTGGCTCATGCTGGATGAGAAGGAGACAAAGCGAGTTTATCCCGTCAAAGAAGTGAGAGTGTAAGTGCTTTTAAGTTTCTAGGCTCTCCAAGTAGGGTCACAGCCCCCTCCAGATGTACTCAGGGATGGTGTAGATGTAAAATCAATCCCACTGGGGCTGACAAGATGTGTCACACCCCCATTAAAGCCTCAGTAGCTGGAGTGGTTTTGTGTGTTTGTTAGATAATTTGAAACAGTGCTGTTAGATGGCCTATTCACTGCCACCATGGTCACACTGGCCTTCAGCTGCTTACAGTTTTCTTCTTGGCACAAGGGAATGCTATGGAAGGACAGTTTCCCTTTCTACTTTACTTCTTGTATTGGTAGGAGAATCTAGTGCTCTATCTTAGTCTTAAATTTAGTTTGAGAATGAAGGAGCCTTGCCAAAGGTAACGATGCTGAGTGCATTTCAGAGAGGTCACCAGAGCACCAGGCTGGCCAGGAGTTACTGAAATATTTGTCCTTGGCAGGATCTGAGGCTAATGCCACTGTGATCCTGCCTCCTGTAGCCCTGCAATCCGTACCTCACTCACTGAAATATTTCTTTCTTTTGGCTGCTTGCAGGGAAGAGATGAAGTGGAGAAAATGGGCAGATGATTGGCTTGTTCACCTCATCTCCCCCAACGTTTACCGAACCCCCAAAGAAGCCTTGGCATCTTTCGATTACATTGTCCGGGAGGGGAAGTTTGGCACCTTGGAAGGTCTCTTTGCCAAGTACGTGGGTGCTGTTGCCATGTTCTTCGTGAGCAAGAGGCTGAAGAAAAGGTTGGTATCACTGAGCACCAGTTACACAAGAGGAGGAATAGCTCCTCAGCCTCCTTAGCTGTGAACCCCAGGTGTCAAAAGGGCAGAACCTTGGAGTTTTAAGCTGAACCATTTAATCCCATGTGAGTAACAGCTGTACTTCTTTAACTGGACGTACTGAACCTCTCTACTCATCTGCTATTTAGTTACTAACTGCCCCCTTCACTCTGAAGTACCTCCTTAATTCCCAAGCAAAGACCAGCCTGCAAGGTGAGAGATTATAAAGTGTTAACCAAGAAACCAATACATGTCTTCAGACTGGTTCTTCTCCTTGTCCAGACACAACCTTCGAGATGATGTCCGAGAAGACCTGTATGAAGCAGTAAATGAGTGGGTAAAAGCTGTTGGCAAACACCGACTGTTCATGGGTGGGAACCAGCCAAACCTCGCTGACCTGGTAAGGGGCTCATCCCTGCAGTTATTGTCACAAATCAATCATCCTGCTGCCCATCTGTGTGAAATGGTTAATACAAATACAGGCAGAGAAGTTGAGCTACGTGACGTACATTGTCCATGTCCTTTGTGCAGTAATACAGTTCCCACACGGAGTTTTTGCCTATTGCTGGATTTGTTGTTTTCCTCCAGAGAAATATTTCCAAATATAGAACCTGCAGTTCCCATCTGCAGGTGGATGTTACTGATCAGGTGGAAACACAATAAAAGCAGGTCAGAGCCAGGACACTGCTCTAGCTCATGGATGCTGGTGAATAAACCTCACAGGTGTTATTGCTCTCAGTGCTGCTGGGGTTTCCTCTGCAGGCACCAGCACAGAGTGGAACAGAATTCATTCTCTGCACCAACAGTTCTCTCTGGAATACAAGTGAAGCATTTCATGCCAGGGCTTGATGCAAAGATGGGATTAACTTTTGCCCCATAACTGCACACAGATTCTGATTTTTCCTTACTGTTTCCTCATGGAAAACATGCATATTCTTAACTACCTTTCTGCCGTTCACTCTTCCTTGCTAATCAGAGTGATGGAGAAGATGGCAGGACAGGGCAAGAGCCTTACTGGCTTGGCTGTTGAGACACTTGTGCTCTGAGCCATTCTCCACTGCTCTTTCAGTGTGGTTCTAATATTTCTGCTCTGTCACAGGCTGTGTACGGGGTCCTCCGGGTCATGGAAGGGCTGGAAGCCTTTGATGACATGATGGCTCACACCAAGATTCAGCCTTGGTACCAGCGCATGGAAGAAGTCATTGAAAAAACTGGAGTTGCAATCTGATGCCAGCTGCAGCTGCCTCCCTGAACTACTTGCATGGTGAATACTTCAGAAGAAAAGGCTTTTATTTTTGGAGTTGAAAGGACTGGTCACACCTAAAGACTGATACGAGGGCACAGAGACCACCCCGTTCAGAAAATCAGGTTACAGTGAAAGAAGGGTCCAGCTGGGTCTATGTAGAAGGATGGGGACAGGTGAAAGGAAGGGATCTTGGATGCTGCTGGAAAGGAGAAGGTCTAAATTGAAGAATGCATCAAATAGGCTTCTTTTAGGCACAAGCCATCCTTGGAGCAGTTTACTGTAAAAGCAAGATGCTCTTGGCTGGTGTTACATGTCAGACGCGGTAGGTCTGAGCAGCTTGTCTTCCACTACTCATCCATGTCATCTGAAGTGTTTTCCTGACTGACATACTGGATTCTAGTTTTTAAGTGACAATTTTTCCTGCAATAGAATCATGTAAGCCCAGTGCTGAGGGAACTGGAGGAATCCAGGGCACTGGGGAAGGCCCCCTTCCTGTGACAGCAGCGATGCTGCACTCGGCATGAGTGTGCTTTCACTCTTCCATGTAAACGGTTCTCTCAGGACTTGACTCTGTATGGTCTGCAAGGATAAAGGATGGCTTTATTCTGTACCCTTTGTGAGATCCGAGTTCTTACCTTACCCTTACACCTGAAGAGCACACCCTACACTGAAATCACTAATGCAGAGCAGTTATTGGAGAGTTGTCTTGTGTGAGAGCTCTTTGGAGTACCACTGAAAATCAGTTTGTTCTTGTTTTAGGAAAAGGATTAAGAGCCATCTGCATGGCCAAGGGATCTCCAGATGTTTCTGCCATGCAAGAGTAATAAAGGATTTGCTGTTGTAGCAATCAAATTAGGAACTGTCCCTGTGCAATATGAAGTCTGCTGAGCTGTGCTGGGGAGAGTCATAGAACAGTTTGGGCTGAAAGGGACCTTAAACACCATCTTGTTCCAATCCCCTGCCATGGACAGGGACACCTCCCACTATCCCAGGTTGCTCCAAGCCCCGTCCAACCTGGCCTTGGACACTTCCAGGGATGGGGCAGCCACAGCTTCTCTGGGCAACCTGTGCCAGGGCCTCCCCACCCTCACAGGGAAGAATTTCTTCCTAATATCCCCTCTAACCCTGCCCTCTGTCAGTGCAAAGCCATTCCCCCTTGTCCTGGCCCTCCATGCCTTTCTTTTCCAGCTGCAGAACCTGATGTTTGTCATACTAAGAGGCAATGCAGCTTTGAATGTGAGTTGCACATCACACAGCCCAAGACTTCAGTATCCTTAATTATCCCCTTGATCAAGTTCTGTTTCTCCAGAAGAACGGGCAGGTTTCAGGGAATCTGATTTGTTGTGATATTTCAGGTGCAGCTGAAAGTGGTGTTTAATACAGCTTCCTGCACAGTGTGGGGTTGAGGGAGGCACCTTTATTGGGTATAACAATGGTGGTGATAGAAGTTTGGGTTTTTTTGCTGAGTGTAAGACTAGTTCCAAATTCAATTTCAAATTCTGACATAGAGAGGAGAAGGAAAATGTTTACAGTAAAAACAGCTGAGTAGCTGCTCTGTGACTGTTTCTTTAAACCATTCTGTACTGAAACTTGTGTTCCACGATATCAACAGATAATGTTGTTTTAAAACATTATATTGAAAGCGCATAGACAGGAGGTTGAAGAAACCCTTTATGATAATTTTGGTGTCTGTCTCTAAACCCAAGAGGGAAGAGAGTTTGATGTTGGATGAGGATCTGAAGCACCAAGGGCTCAGTTGATGCTGCTTCTCCTTGCTGTGCTGTGCTACATCAGTCCTCTCGAGATGAATATCCATCATGCTAATATACTGATAATATTACATGAAATAAAGGTTGTTTCAGGATCTTGTATCACCTTTCATAGAATCACAGAATGCTAAGTGGTTCGAATGGACCCAATCCCCCCCCTGCCATGGGCAGGGACATCTCCTACTAGACCAGGTTACTCAAGGCCTTACCAACCTGGCTTTGAACACTGTCAGGGTTGGGGCATCCACAGCCTTCCTCAGCAATCTGTTCCAGTGTCTCACCACCCTCCCAGTAAAGAATTTCTCCCTAGTATCTAACATAAATTCTCCCTCTTTCCATTTGTGCCCATTACTCCCTGTCCTATCACTCCACTTCCTGATAAAAAGTCCCTCTCCGACTTCCCTGTAGCCCCTTCAGATACTGGAAAGTTGCTGTGAGGTCTCCACACAACCTTCTCTTCTCCAGGCTGAGCAGCCCCAGCTCCAATCCTCTTAACTTCGTGGTCCCCTGTGGACTTGCTCCAA